TAACATTGCTGCATTTTGATTTGCAGGAGATGAAACCAAGGATGGGATTCGATCTTCAAGCACACTGCCTGTTACGCAGCCACCTTCTGCTCCCCCTACACCAACCCATCTGGCAGGCACAGGAAATAGTTTTGAATTTGAAGACCGTGGCGATCTTATAAAATTCTACAACACGATTTATGTACAGAAAGTTAAACGGTTTGCTTTGAAGTTTTCAAGTGGTGGAGGACAGGTAATTGTGTATAAAGTTTTACACTTCCTGTTTCATTAATAAATTTTACTGTTTTGTATTCATATTCAATAAAATGAACTTCACCTTGCTTTAACTCGTTGTATTCATATTCAATAAAATGAACTTTGCCATGCTTTAACTCATAACACGGCCCTTTAAATACACTAAATTCACTTTTTCAATCTGGAACGGTATTTTTCTTGCCAGTAGCCTCACGTCACGTCCAGAATTGAGAACCAGTTGACTCCAGCAAGCATGTGTTGGGTGTCATTGGTCCTCCAAACCAGGAAGCAGTCCCCCTCAGTAACATTCAATTTCAGTAGTATACACAAAAATGATGTCTCCATTCGTCTTCTGAATGAGCACAGGGACTTGCTTGCCTATTCTTTCATGTTCTTCAGTATCTCATTTACCTCAGCGTGCTTGGCCACATGCAGTCTGTGAGGGGCTACTGGATGACGTGGGTGTTGACGTTTTGGTAAACTGTCCGTCTGACCATATTCATTGTTTGTTGACTTCGAGGCTTCTCTGCTGTTGAGGTTTCAGCCAGGCACCAGACAACACACCTTACAATTGCTCTAGAGCCTTTAAGCTTCTCTGAGTTGGGGGGTTTATAGAATGTAAGTTGGCACCATCTGACTGATTCGCTGTGGCCCAGGATGGTGCCTCAGCTAGCACCTGGCTTTGGACACTCACATTTATAATTCTGCACCAGTGAGCAGAATGTTTGATTATTACATTTACAACATTGGTTGAAGTTGCTTAGACATCACATTGCGTGCATTGGAGGGCATGAATCACACCACAGGATGGGGAGGGGATTAAATTTGGCTCCTGTATGACTTTGCCTTTTTCTTTTATTTTTATTGGTTTCAAAATATCATTGCTTGTTTATG